TATATATACACAATGTCACTATGCAATCACTATGCAACATGTATCAGACCGATTTATTCACAATGTCACATACAGATTACTATGCAACATGTATACGGCTCTAAATTTATTACACAATGTCACCAACAGATTACTTTGCAACATGCATCAAGTAAGTATCACACAAAACGTATGAACATATATACAACTTCTATTTACAACGTCCACCAATATGTAGTATCACCTTGTTAGTCTGCAACTAACCACAATAACACAATGACACAATTACACATGCACAAATCCTTCAATGCACAAGGAATATATATATAAACACAGCTGAACTCACGCACTAACTACCCCTTTGAGTTCCCACACACTGAATATTATCCAAACTGGTAAGGTTTAACACAGTGCACTTTCACTAATACACTTCCACAATATCACACATAGTACAATTTGCAACACCAGCAAGTATACACCTTGTATTCTCACTAATACAAATCTATGAAGTATCCACACTTCCACATAGTACAACTTGCAACACCAGCAAGTATACACCTTGTATTCTCACTAATACAAATAACTTATTATATAAGTTTCACTTTATATCACAATCACTATTGCAATATCCACATATAAATCCGAACACTATTCATATATATCCTTTGGAATCACTTAATTCACTCTACTTACCAGTTGGAAAATAATCCCTGATGTTATCACTTCAACGGTCCACATAAAACTGACAAAGTTTCTCTATCTTGAGCTGGTTTATATACTACCATCTGGAACGGTCCATTATACTTGAAGGGGTGAAAACCAAGACTATACCAACTTTAGGGGTGTTTTAATTAACAGATGGTGCTCCAACTATGGAGAAACTTATATACATATAGAAACACAATAAATAGGAAAAGACAACTGGTATTTCACATCAAAATAAATGAACTATGACCAATTTCCGTTACAGTCGTAGTAGAAGCGTTATTTGGTCGCGGGGAGAACATGATGGTCGTAATAACGTCGCTGTGAGATCGTAGCGCAATCTCTGACTAAATTCGCGCTTACGCTACGCTCTAGCTACGATGGCACAGCGACCTTTGCGATCTTAGCACAACCTTACTGCGCTCTCGCTACGCTTCTACTAGGACCTGGTTTCGGCACGACTGCACCACGATTGTTTTGAACATGTTCAAAGTTGGCCACGCTCATCACGATCATGAAGACCTCACCACGACCTTACTGCGATCTTTACGATCGCACTAGGATCGTCAAAATTTGCAGTTTTTTCAGAGATCGTAGTAAGATCGTGGCCTAGTGTGACTGCGGCATAAAGAGCACTATTAACACTTAAAACACTAAGTCAAAAACTCAAATACAAACTGTATGTACATAATTTGAATAAAATGCTTTGCTGGGCGCAGGTTGATACGACCGCAGAGGTCGAACCCTGAACAGTTGGGGCAAGTATGGACACAACATTCAAGCTTGATACAGCTCTGAATTTGGATTGTGATTAAATATTTGACACAGCATAGGTTTCTGACACAGAAAGAATGTGGTCTAAGAACTTGATTTTTTTTAATTTACCTATTATGGTCCAATGTCCAAAATCAATATACATGGTTAGATTCAGCATATCAAAGAACCCCGTATATTCAATTTTTGTTGAAATAAAAAAAAGTTTAATTTTGGACCCCAACTTGGACCAACTTGAAAACTGGGCCCATAATCAAAAATCTAAACACATGTTTAGATTCAGCATATCAAAGAACCCCAAGAATTCAATTTTTGTTAAAATAAAACTAAGTTTAATTTTGGACCCTTTGGACCTTAATGTAGACCAATTTAAAAAACGGGACCCAAAATAAAAAATCTAATAACACAGTTAGATTTGGCATATCAAAGAACCCCAATAATTCAATTTTTGATGAAATCAAAAAAAGTTTAATTTTGGACCCTTTTGACCTCAATATGAACCAATTTGATAGCGGGCCCACAAATAAAAAATCTAAATACATGGTTAGATTCAGCATATCAAAGAACCCATATATTCAATTTTTGTTGAAATCAAACAAAGTTTAGTTTTGGACCCCAATTTGGACCAACTTGAAAACTGGGCCAAAAATCAAAAATCTAAATACATGTTTAGATTCAGCATATCAAAGAACCCCATATATTCAATTTTTGTTAAAATCAAACAAAGTTTAATTTTGACCCTTTGGACCTTAATGTAGACCAATTTGAAAACTGGACCCAAAATTAAAAATCTAAATACACGGTTAGATTCGGCATAACAAATAATTAAATGTGGTCAAAGATTTTACAAATCTAATGCGCCATACTGTGCAATTAAAGATTACTTCTTGAAATTTTTCAATATTTGAAATTTGAAAAAAAAATATCTGAAGAATAATTCTTTTTAATTTCTGAAATCTGAAATGAGAACCCACAATTTCTTTTTACCCCCCCCCCCCCAAAAAAAAAATTCTTTCCCTCAAGATATGGTCATAATCTCAATTTTAATTTCCAATGGAGTTTGCAACCATAATTACCCATTTAAATTTACCATAGTGCTAACTAATCTATTTTATAATAGAATTTAAAATATAGTGTCAAATCTTTCATATGGATTTTTTTGTAAAAAAAAAAGATGCAACATTTGCAGATATTTTTACTGGTCTTCCTTTATAAATATGCATTTCTTTAAACATAATTTAAAAGCAGTATAAGGGAAGTAACCAAAACGTTGTATTTGGATTACCTCCCTTACACTGTTTTAAAATATCTTAATTGTTCATTAACCATTACTTTATACATAATTTAAAAGCAGTGTAAGGGAGATAATTTCAATGATGTATTTGATTTATCTCCCTTACACTGCTTTAAATTATGTTTTGTACTAAAGTATTTGTCCATTAACCAGGACAACCTTGTTTTTCCCCCTTTTTTGCCCCTAATTCCTAAACGGTTTGAGCCATAACCCCCCAAATCAAATTCTAACCATCCCTTTGTGGTATGGAAACTTGTAGTATAATTTCAGAGAGATCCATACACCGTTCCACAGTTCTTGTCTGGAAACTAGAAAATGCTTATTTTTGGCCCCTTTTTGGTCCCTAATTCCTTAACTGTTGGTACCATAACCCCCAAAATCAATCCCCACCTTCCTTTTGTGGTATTGAACCTTATGGTAAAATTTCAAAGAGATCCATTCACTTAAACTAAAGTTAGAGTGCGAAAACCAATGTGTCTTCGGACGACGATGACGACGCCATCGTCATACCAATATACGACCGCAAAATTTTTTTGTGGTCGTATAAAAACTGGATTCCCCATTTACTTTATTTCGTGTCATTCTTTTTTTATGTTTTTGTTCCAAGAACAGAATTCAATCCCTCAAAACAACCAGCTAACTACTTTTTCATGTAGTATGTCTCTGCTTGAACATATATAACATATTGTGATTAAAAGCACCAAAAACAAATTTTCAAAAGTGTTGGACAGACTGAATATTCCTGGATCATTTGATTCCATTTCATTTGTTCTTGAAAACTGGGACCATTTATATTAAACTTAGCTGAAAATAATCCAAGTCAATATCCTATTGAGTTCTCATTCTAATTTTCATCTTTGGTGGCTATTTTGAATTCTCTGTTGACCCAAAAAAGTACCTATTGTGAATATGACTGTAATTGGCTGTTATGTTTAGTTTCAGTGAGTTGGCTGGTTTAAGAGGAAGCCTTGATGGTTGGTTATCGTGTCGGAATTATTTTACACTTTGTAATCTTTGTGTCTTTCATAGATTGCTACACAATGCCATAAATAACTGCTACCAGCTGTATTTTCTAACACTTACTTTGGTCTCTGGTGGAAAGTTGTCGCATTGGCGATCATACCACATCTCCCTATTTTATATTGATACAGATCCAAGAAAATAGAAGCTTCAAGTATCATTCTATTAAACATACAAAATTTCCGAGAAAGGCAATTCTGTACTTTTGGATATATGTTTTTTTTAATTCTAGACAATTTTAGTCAACTTGAACTTTCACATAGACAGTTAATTTATTTTTGAGCCTGTCTGTTTTATTTAAATGGTTGACAATATATCATTTATCCATTTCATATCCTTGTGACATTAAAATATTCTGAGCATACATGTAACATGACATGGGAAGAAAGATAGTCACACATACCAAATAGTTCTTATATTTCATGTATTTGGGATATTATATATGACTGTAAATACTAATATATATGTTAGTATTTTCATGATAACAGGTCTAATAACCACTTGACTTGGTTAAAAAAATTCTTGGATTCTATGAAAAGTAATGCTTTTCCTTTTTTATGCAGCTTGAAAATGTTGAGTTGATGCCTATCAGCAATGTTAAGATCTGCCATGTCTGCTGTGCAGCTACACCTTGTTTCCTGGTATTTTAGAATTAATTGCATGCAGCCACAAAGGTCCAGACCTGGTATTGTTCTTTTTTTATATTTTATGATGCTCTTGTTAAAACAGTTTTAAAATTTTCAACATCTTTTCTGGTACATGAAGCTCATTTTTACCTGAAAAAGAGAGGAGTCATATAGATATTTTGATAATATAAATAAAGAATAAACAAAATTGGCATGTAATTATATAAAGATCAGAGGGGATCCAGTCATGTTTCAGTGATTCTCTATATAATCAACCAAATTTTCCCCACAAAATGGTTAGAGGCCCGCTGCCCCCTTTCTAAATCCACCTCTGAAGATAAAATTGTCTTATTGTTACTGCTGATTCATTCAATTGTGTATACAACAGAGGAAAACAGTCCAATAAAATTATATTTTCTAGAAGTATGTTAGATGAGTAATGTACTATTGACAAACAAGTCCATTTGCCTTGCTTATATACTCAAATGACAAAAAATTGTTTTTCTTAACTGAAATATAGAATTCTTATAAATGTTTGTACATTCACTGATAAGCTGATACGTCATTTCTAATAATTATATCATACATGTATATGTACTTACACCTTAAATTCAAACAGTCTCTGTATGTACATTTATCATCCTTCCCTACAGCTATATCTGTTTCCTCAACGTATCCGTAAAACTCGTATCACGATAGCGCGTGCTCTGAGGAGACATTATCAACTTGAGGAGGAAATATCAATAAATTCTCCCAACATTTATTCCATCATTGTAATGATATCATGTCACTTACAAAGATGACTTGACCAAATAAATTACACTTGCATGATAATGAGTATGAATGCAATATTATAACTGATGATGAGTTCCACAAAAGTCGTCAGACTCCGAGCGCAAAATTTAAAAACTTAAAATCACTTGGTCTTGGTAATAAACCCAATGCTGCAGACCCTTTGACATATGACGATCTCAACAAATTTTATATGAGGCTGGGCGCAGCTTGATACGACCGCAGCTTGATACAACCGCAGAGGTCGAACCCTAAACAGTTTGAGCAAGTATGGACACAACATTCAAGCTTGATACAGCACTGAATTTGGATTGTGATTAAATATTTGACACAGCATAGGTTTCTGACACAGAATGAATGTGGTCTAAGAACTTAAATTTTTTTAAATTACTTATTCAAACCATATCATTATTATTTGCTTTTATATATAAATCAGAAATAACCAATTTAAAATGGAAAATTTTAAAGAAAAAAAAGGGGAAAAAAATCCTCCCCCAAATTCAATCCCAGCCTTCCCTTTGTGGTATGGTACCTTGCAGTACAATTTCAGAGAGATCCATACACTTGAACACAAGTTATTGTCTGGAAACTAGAAAAATGCTTGTTTTTTGGCCCATTTTTGGCCTCAAATTCCTAAACATTTAGGGCAATTACCCCCAAACTCAAACCCAGCTTTTCCTTTGTGATATGGAACCTTGTAGTACAATTTCATAAAGATCCATACACTTACACACAAGTTATTGTCCTGAAACTAGAAAAATGCTTGTTTATTGCCCCTTTTTGGCCCCTAATTCCTAAAATTTTGAGGCATTTCCCCCAAAATCAATCCCAGCCTTCCCTTTGTGGTATGGTACATTGCAGTACAATTTCAGAGAGATCCATACACTTGAACACAAGTTATTGTCTGGAAACTAGAAAAAAAATTTTTTGGCCCCTTATTCCTAAACGTTTTGGGCAATTACCCCCAAACTCAATTCCAGCTTTCCCTTTGTGATATGGAACCCTGTAGTACAATTTCAGAAAGATCCATACACTTACACACACAAGTTATTGTCATGAAACAATAAAATGCTCGTTTTTTGCCCCTTTTTTGGCCCCTAATTCCTAAAATTTTGAAGCAATTACCCCCAAAATCAATCCCAGCATTCCCTTTGTGATATGGAAACTTGTGGTACAATGTCAGAGAGATCCATACACTAACACACAAGTTATGTCTGGAAGTTACAAAAATGATTATTTTTGGCCCCTTTGGGCCCCTAATTCCTTAACTGTTGGTACCATAACCCCCAAAATCAATTTTGAGGTATTAAACCTTATGGTAAAAATTTCATAGAGATCCATTCACTTAAACTAAAGTTAGAGTGCGAAAACCAATGTGTCTTAGGACGACGACGACGCCATCGTCATACCAATATACGACTGCAAAATTTTTTGCTGTCATATAAAAAGTTATGGGGTCAAATAGCCCTCGTTCTCTTATAAACATAGTATATATTAATAACAATTACCATTTTGGTTTAAGAGGAGTTACTGAACATTACAATTTATGTTGGGGTGATATATCACTAAAAGTTGACACAAATGGAGACGAATACCTTCAGTATTGTCGTGAATAGCAATCAAAAACAAGACAGGGTGAAAATATAACAAATCTAAGAAAATCAGGACCAATCGCAGTAGAAAAACAAAATTGACCGCACCAGATGTCCTGTGTTTCAATATAATTTAAACTTTTTCAACAAAAAAGACCAGAAACCATGAAAAAAGATGATTCCCCTTTTTATATTCAGGCTTCAACGTTTCAAGATGATAAGGCCACTTTTTTTTTATTTGTTGGTTTACGGATCCGCCGACCCTGTTTTTCCCGATTTTGATATAAAAAAAAACGATTTTGAAGATTTTTTTTAATTCCACCGACCCTTTTCTGTTTGAAGTAGTACAAATAAAAATAAAAACATAATAAAAAAGATCAGCCTTTCTTTCTCAAGTCGGAAAACCCTCGGAGTGAATTGGACGTTTCTTCATGATCTAATGCGGTGAAAAGGAACCAGTTGAAAATGGAGGTTGACGGCGGGTCAATTAACAATTTTTTTTCAAGTGTTGATCAGAAACCCGTCGAAAGGGGAGCGTTTTTGTTGTTGACACCGTGAAAGCTTCCAAGAAAGACAAATTGACTGACGATGCCAGCCATGTCCCTTTGGACACACCATGTGAAGTACTAACCAATTTCGGGTACAAATTTCTGCACGTCAGTGTTCATGAGGTGTCAATTAAGGGAAGATGATATTACGATATTTACAAATGTCTATTATTAAATATAATTATTTTTTTTAATATATATATTATAGTTTGTAACTTTTTACACTATCTTTTCGTGCTAAGAAGATGTTCTTTTAGGATAAGGAGAACTGTCCTCCTTCTTAGTACATACTCTCTCTCTTTTGCCCAATCTTTATTGGTCTCATATAGCATTTATAAACATATAAAATGTTAATCTCTAGTGGCCATGCTGCCCAAATTTTTTTTAGATCTGGACTTTGAAAATTTTGCACATTTCTTTGGGGGGGGGGGGGGGTCAATAACTTAGGAAGGCTCATTCACAATTTTGTCACTCCCTGATTTAAATTTGATAAATAAATACACAGAACAAAAAGAAATGCAATTGGAAAACACACTTCCCTTTCATCAGAGACATATATATGTATCTGCTTTCATCAATCTACATTGACATTGGACTCCTTGTAACACATTAAAGAGGGGCCTGATGGGTTATTTTCGTTCTTCGTGATCGGCGCATTTTCGCTATCGTGATCCGTTTTTCTACAGATTTATTTTATTTTTATATTTTCGTGATCCGTGATCATGGAAATTTATTTTCTGTGAATCGTGATTGACAAAAAAATCAACTCGTGAATCGTGATGAGACCCCCCCATCAGGCCCCTCATTAATTAAGGTTTTTGACTCCTTTTGTGGCCTGTGAATTATGAAAATTTTAAACTGCAATAGTATCAAAACAACAAAGATAATGAATAATAGAGATGGTTCATTTTGTACATATACCAAGGGGAAACTTCGTGCAAAGCATTATTATTTATAGTTTAATTGTATTTGGTAGAAAAAGAGAATTTGGTAAAAATAAAACCAAGATTTTTGTAGAAAATCCACAGACTTTAATACAGAGATTTTTGTGATAAAATTTTAAACATAGATTACTCACTTATTTTTCTATGATGTGCTAGCGTTTATTTTTTACAAAAAGTCCTAAACAACCTTTAAATTCCATAACACCTCGTGCTGAGTCACTAAAGTCGAGCTCACCCTGGAAGGTGTACTTGAATTGGTCCATATTTATACATTGTATTTGTTTTAACCAATATCTAAATTTATAAACTTGTTTTAAGGAAATCATTGCTAGCATTGCATGCAATAATCCTCTATCTATCAAGCATCAAATTGCCAAATATGAGAGTACAAAGGGAAAGGCTGTGGATTTTCTACAAAATTCCATATGTTTACCATTGAATCAACACAAGGGTACATAATCCTTTAAACAGCAAGAGTTAATACCAGTTCATGAAACGATCTGCATACATGGTTAGTATTATACTATAGAGTAATGTCATTGTTTGTTTCTCAATTTTTGGTAAAAAAAAGTACAGTATTAATTCCAATTTTTATTTTTTTTTTTTTTCGACCTCCTACCCTATCCTTTTTCATTATTTTTAATTTTTTTTTCGACCTCCTACCCTTCCTTTTTTTTAGAAGAATCCCATAAACCAACTAATAAAAAAAAAGTGGCCTAACTATGAATCAAAAATTCTTTGATACAAAAATCTAAGACTTGGAACTAAATCAATTGCTAAAATAATAAAAGATATGGCCACGGAAGCACTACCCAATAACGATAAAAGACTCACTGGTCATAGTGCAAGGACGGGTTCAATCTAAAAACAAAAAGACAATGGAGTGCAAGACACAGAATTTGTACAAAGAACAGGACGTAAACATGTTAACAGTTTGCTGTCGTACTCCAAAACAAGCTTGGAACAACAGAAAAAAACATCATCAATGCTATCTTCAACAAGAGAATTAGAGCATCCTACAGTTACCAAATCAGATAATAAAAAAAAATACCTCACCAGTATTAGAGACAATAACATCAACACAGACTCAATCAACTGTTAGTAACAACAGTAAACAGTCAATTTACAAAGGAAATTTTAATTTTTCGAACTTACATCCCGCAATGAGTGGTCTTTTCACAAATGCAACATTCCATGGTGGAAATTTCAATTTTACCTTTAACAATAGGACATCGTCAGATCAACAACCCTCAGATGACAACAAAAAGAACAAAAGAAAGCGTCTCTGCGTAATTGACAGTGACAGTGATAGTGATTTCTAAAATATAATAATCATTCAATTCATTTATTAGTTGCACTAATGGCTGTTTATGATTATCAATTAGCATGTATAATTTGTCAGGTTTTCTACATATATTGATATAAAATATCAGTTGCAAGTTACAATGTTAAAACTGGTGTAAATCATAATTATATTGGCTATATGGGCAATAATTTGGTATTCGGCCTTTGGTTTCTTTTTGTATCTTTTTTTTTTAAGTTCTAAAACTTTTATTCTGTGGGTTGTGTTGGTGTGAGACTAGTATTAATGGAACAAGTAGGTTTTTTGAGGAAAAATTAATCAATTTTGATTCACCGTTTTCGTGACAGGAAACCAAACAGGAAACCAAACTTTATTTTCTTTATTTAGCACAATTTATTTCAAAAGACATAAATGAACACCATTACTAGTGTTACTTGCTTCATGTTAATATTTAAAATCTTTTTTCAATGTTAAATTAAGGTTTTTTTTAAACGCGACAGGAAACCATAAGAAACCGAAAGCATTTTTTTAGTGTTATTTTATTGGAAAATCAGCTTAAAATAATCTGAACAGTAAACTTTTTCTTGATAATGTTACTTATAACTTTAGTTTTTTTAATTTAGGACTGTTTTTGATAATTTTT